TACTATAGAAATGCGGGTTAGCTAAGTATTGTAAATATAGCTAAATATTCGTGGCTCTTCCATCTCTGTAATGAAATTACAGCCAAAACTGATTTTGATGATGCCTGTCATCCACTCACTTTAATCCATATATCAACAACAACATGATAAAAGCATTCTCCCAACCTCCCCTACTCTCGAAAAATATCCTTGAAAAAAATTAAAAGCTATCTTATCACGGACAAAAATGAATACGCTATTTGCAGTGCAATTCAAACAGCCTAACTAATCTATACATTCTTTAAAAAGTGACCACGTTATCTCTGGATTACTTGGAATTGAAATTAAAATAAATACGATAATTATTTAATAGCTCAATAAATGTCTAAACACACACCGAACCCTGATGTAATCTTGGGCGATCCTGCGTTCTCACTGATTGTAGTGCATAAATTGGTTGACCTTCTACCGTATGCCCAACAACAGTGTACTGAAAGAACCCAAAACATATATCAAACAATTAATTTATTAAAACTAATATGTCCAGTTCTGAAATTGTTCACCAAAATTTAAGTCTATTCTTATCATCCTTAGTTTATTTCCATGTCCTACAAGTATAAAAATTTTCACAGCTGAGTCATTCCTCCGAGCAAACACATTAGACGTAAAATCTGGTCACAGAACTTGAAAGCCAATTCTAATAAGCAGAATCAGTTCGAAATGATCACGATCACGCAATCAAATGATGTGACTGCAGAAATTTCATGGTTTAAACATTAGGAACAACAATACTTAGGAAATATACGATGATGGGATGAGCTCTAAAGATGCAAAATGTATGTGGAAATCAAAGGAATAAACAAGCACTAAAAATGGAAAAGCTCCTCAAATCTCCATCCAACAAACGGAAGCAGATTTTACTTCAACGGCCGGGTTACAGTGGACGTTCGTACGGGTAGTTTCATCAGAACTATCAACCAAATTCAAATGCCCGATAACGATTAACACAAGGATCAGCTAGATGTTAGTTTTGAAGTGGGATAGTTAACTATCAGCCACTGAATGGAAACGAAAACTATCGACAGATCTATTTGTCCAATTCCGCAAATTTTATTAGCCAGGAAAATTGTCTGTGCGTTACATAAACAATTCCATAACTATACAACAGTTGCTGCTGCAGCAAATCATGCAACAACTACTATGATAACAGTACAGCACCATAATTCTTCATAACACACTTCGGCCAATCGTAAATGAAAATGAGGATGATTGATCAATGATCCATTGAAGTACGTGTTTTTCATCTTTTTAACTTCAGATTTAACAATGATTTGCATAGCAGAATTTTAAATTAGTTAAGACAGTGCAGAAGTTGTGGATTTCTCAAATCTAGTTTTCTCCACAAGATCTCATCCATGTCTAAAGTTGCATGAAGCGAAAAACATGTTTCACTTTTAGCATTCTGAACTATTCTGTGAACTCTGCTTGTCAACAATTTTTACCATTTGAGAAATGTCGATATTCTCACACCAGGCCCGGCTCGAGGCATCAAAGCGTACTTATTTTGCAGGTGAAGTTGTATAATTTGATAAAGAGTCTCTGACTTGTTAAATTAGAAACTTCATTGAATTGGTAACGCAATGATGAAGAAAAAGGCTAACGACATAATCTTTAACATTTTTGCTACACCATTGCGAATGATCGAACTGTGACCAGATAATGAACTAGAACCGAACTTCTTTAGATACGGAATGCTGATAGTACTTTTCTAGATTACATGGGGATTGCAGCAAACATACATTTCATGAGTTCAGATGAACATTAACTATCCGAAAGCAATATATTTTTCCCTCTTATATAATCCAGATTTCATACTCACGCATTTTGTTCCACTTCAAGTACCTGTTTAAAATTTATACAAAATGTGGGTAAATTGCAACTACCGACCCTATTGCTTTCATTTGAAATAACTTTTGGTTCTTGCAATCTTTGCTGAGGTTCACAGAAAACTGTGTCGCCTTGTTCAGTGGCATGATTTCCATATCCTAATCCACCAGAACGCACCGCCGTTGATGCCCCCCTGGATATAAAGTATTCAGGCATTCCGGCAGAATCACCAGATGGGGAATACGAATGCGTCGGCGAATTCGTTATTGAGTATTCGTGATAACTAGGTATCAGTTGGTGTGGGTCATCGAATACCTGAAATGATAAAATTTGGGGAGTCGTCATGCAATGTATGTCTTCTCGCATATGGTATGACTCACATCAATTAACAGAAGGTTTGAAATGTAAAGCTACACTGGTAAAAATCATACTGCGTTCATAATCAAATTCAAATCCTCCATTGTATACTACAAAAAAATTATAATAAGGCAAACACTTTCATACACGTACTGTCATTGATGTAAGTTGTATAAATCAACCAATTCAATGAAGGGAATATCTTCTTATAGTTCTTTAATGAACAAATAGTCGTTGTCATGCACGCTAATGAGTGAAGAAATGAAGAAATCTCAATAAATCAATAACGTTTTCTCAATATGTAGAAAGGATAACAAAACCATAGAATGAATGTGCATAATGACTGCGAGATCTGCCATCTACCCTTCCCGTCGTTAATGACCCAAAAAGCTTACCAGTAATGTACAGTATGAACTTCAATCTCCAAAAATGAAACCGAACTTAACATAGAAATCGTATCATCTCCTTATCAACAAGACTGTCCAGCATTGGTAAAAGGTTCCTACGAAATACCCACTCAAGTCAAAGCCCTTATAAAGTATACGGAAAAACTAAAAAGATGGCTTACTGATAAATAGAAAACCTGTTCAAGAATTCGGGGACATAATAAACGAGCAGGCGGAAAGTTTTGTAATAACCATTTTATTGTCTAAGACATACCGAATGAATGTAATCATGTAAAGTGTAAAACATACTTCTTGATAATCGTATGAGTTTTGGGAGCAATCATCATTCTTTGGAATATGATGACTCATAAAATTGCGCAGAGTCTGCCCTGAAGGCATATCATCTGCAACGCCATGGTTTTGTCCATAATTCTAAAGTTGATAAAATAAAACGGCTTATACTTTTACAGCACCCATGAAATTTATGCATAAAAAGGAGTGCGAAGTTAAAAGACAAAAGAATTTCCAAAATTGGAAAAAAATAAAGTGAACTTATATCTATCCATACTAGTGAAAAACATACCAAATTTCGTTGAGAAATTCCATAAAATGTACTGGATGAGATGCCTCTTCCTGAAGAAAACGATTGTGCATGATGGTCGTGGGCTGAAGATAAAGCAGAACGTGCAGTAGGATGCTGAAAATGAGCCAAAGGCTGATTATACTCTGCATTCTGTTCATCATCATTCTCGTCAGTATCGCTGGGTTCTTCTTCTTGAAGGAACTGAGTGGGTAATGGCACAAATCGACGAATCGGTTCATTTTCTGGCATTTCAGCCCGGTAATAACCTGAAACGAATGACTTTGTCAATTTTATATAATATATAATATATCGACGACATTGCTCGAAATCATGCCAAAGGACAACAATGCATGTATATAGTAATAAGACACATAGGAATGAAGCTATTACTGAAATTTCTTCACTTCGCAATAAAAAATCTACTCTAAATCATCCACGATAGATTATATTCCATGTTTAAATTAGCGATTATGTTAATAATCAGAAATCCCCTTTTTTTGACGAGTGTATTATAAATCTTGCTAGTTACACATGTGTATTTAAAATTAAAACTACTATATTTCGAAAAACGCGTGTAAAAACGACAAATTTATCAGAATGTCTATCTCCCAGATTTTTTTTGTCTTGAAGCACACATCACTGCTTTCCAACCTTCAGAAATAGAGCCAATAAACTAAATTCCGAAGTAATCAATAATCAAAAATTTTATTCACAACACACATATACATGTGCACTTATCTTTTACAAGCGACATGGGAATGCTGCGTAAGAACTCAAAGCGTCGCGTTGAAATGAGAGCGCGACGGAAGGGGAGAATGTCTGCCCCGTCGAAAACGCCGACAAAACATGAAATCAATCAATTGATGGGATGCAATGCCTTCTCCCCCGTCTTCTCATTACAAGCTATCGTTTCAACATTCTCTTCGAGCTCGATACGCTCACTACACTAATCGTACAATTACCGAACTTCGTCCCTTTCTTCCCGAGAACGCTGCATTACTTCAATCGATTATTAACCATTGCTAGTACTGTTAATGCATTCATTTCAATGTTTAAGTGAAAGATACTATAAAACGAATGAAAAATTACTAAGCACATATGAATACACAACACAAATAATATACACACTAAATACACACTTCAAACAATACCAAGCTTACAGACTATACCCGCTCTCCAACACCAGCCTTCCCTTACTCGCTGCCGCTCGCCGTGTGCCACACATACGATCACGCGTCACATCCAAAACTCAATCATTCGCTGGTCTAACTAATCAATGCCATAAAATTCATACACTCTGTTACGCAATTTCTAAAGTCTCTTGCTTCTCATGGATATATGTGGAATAACTTTTGTTTTGTAGCAGTTCAGGAATGTACCTTACATGACAGTTTCAGAGAAGTAGAGATCATTTAGTATGTTCCACTTCCTTTACTATCATCCGCGGAATCTCGACATACTGTTTGTTCTCGATATACCAGTTTAGCAATAATGTTGATCTCTCAACAAGGCGAAAGGCGAATGATTATAAGAGTATTGGAATTCTTTCTTACAACATATTGGACCTGACCTTTTTCTAGTAGAAAGAAGTTGCAAATAAACAGGAATATTTATGTTCCGTAGAAATCGTAGATCTGTGGCATATGAAATAAGTAAATGGGTCAGTAACTATCGGAAATTATGAGTTGATAATAATTGCTACTAGTCATAATTAAGATGGATGGTTCCTTCAGACGACGATTCTAATCTGGATGATCTTCTAAATCTTGAAGTAGGGAACGTTTCTATAACTACAGGGAAACAGAAGTATGGAGATTGAATGTCCGTCAAATTACTGCAATCGATAAATTTCATACACTTAACTGCGAGATTAAATATTTAAAATTTTAACCTTATAGAGCATTACATAGGATAACGCGATAAATTCATGGTTCGGCTTTATATCCGTTCAATACTTCGTCGTTAGTTGCTGTGCTTAATAACAATAGAAGCATAGCACTAAAAGCAGACGATACATGAACAGAATCGCAGGAAAGTTGTACAAAACTTCAATCTCAATTCTTCCAAAAAAATAAATCAAAATAGAAAAATAAATCAGAAGCTGGGTATTCACTCAAACTGCACCTCAAATATGCTCTAGATTTTCGTGAAGTTTCTCGAAATCGTATCTCTCTTTTAAATATCTCAATATGTTTACAAATTCACTTTGTTGAAAATTTTTAAAATCAAGTTATATCCGACAATAACAGATCTCACAATTCTTTCTTCAACTTGATCGCCAATTTGATCAATATCAAACAAAGAATAAAGGTTGACTAATTTTTCCGGTATCGAAAATCACCTTTATTGTGCTTCTCGCCATTTTCAATAAAGCAAATTCACTTTGTTGAAAATACGAATTAATCTGAAATTCCCGACCAAATAATAGCCAAATCTTCCTCTCTTTCTAATAGCCTAAAATTTGAAAATTTATAGAAATTGCAAATTACTTATTAGCTAAATCAAATGAAATCTGATATTATCGCGCGCGTTGAAAATAAAATTTTATAAAAATCAAAAAATTCCGAAATCACACATGATAATGGTTAAAATGATAATGGAAATCACACATGATAATGGTTCACACATGATAATGGTTAAAATTTTTTTCTGCAATACTTTATAACTGCAATAAAAAATCCTTCAAACATTTTTATTTTTAATACATATAACTTTCATATAAATCAAAATAAATATAGATCATTTCGCCTTTTCAGAATATTATTAATCTCCCCTTTAATACATATGAATATAATAAATAATTAATTGTTGAAGGAATATCCAAAAATATTTCACCAAATAGATATCCAAAATATTCAGCAAAAAAACTTTACAATTTAACAAAATATGAAGTAATAAGAAAAAATTGATATAATACGGAAAAATTCCTTCAACAATTGATTGCTTCTTATGTTCTTGCGCATTAAAGAAATTTATCCCAAATTGAATTTAATTGTTCAACGGTAAACAACATAAACCCTTTTTTGGAATCTATAAACAATCATATCTTATTATTAGAATATATACAGTATCAATGGATCAAATCGTCCTAATGGTAACTTCATCAATTTACTTTTATCATATCTCATGTATATATCTCGTTTTATACGTTTTATACATAGTGTGGAAAACACACTTTCACACATCGAATTCTTATAATTAACGCATGACATTCTTTTAAGCATTCTTTTACTTATTTTTCGGTTTTTAGGATCTGATAATATCAAATCAAAACAACAGATTTGATAGTTTTAACTTTTAATAATACCAATAAGATATTACTCTAAATCATCAACTATCATCGCACAATCTATTTACTCTCAAAACATATTAAATAATTAGAAATAAACTCTGTAGTTGCATTTACTATTAGCATAGCTATACATGCATGCATGCATGCGTATCACTTATTTTTCAAAATAAACAATAAAATTTTATGCTTCATTCTTACGAATTAAATATCATAGCATTTCTTGCAATAATATATTTTCTCCAGTTATTGTAAGCTAAACTTAGTTAACAAAAATTTTACAACAAAAATTAATCGGTTTTTGATTTATCTTCAATATTTAATTTTTATTGATTCTTTTGCTTTTTCATTTAAATTTCCTTATCATTCATATCAAAATTCGTATAACATAAATTTTCATACAATTGCCAATTTCAAACGAAACTGACAATTTCATTGCTGAGCTGTCATATCGCCTGAAAATATTTCCTTTAAATGTTATTATCCCTATCTCGTTCGACTTTGATAATTGCCTTTTCTTCCTCTACTACTTACTCATCATCTGCCATAAAACAAAAAAGAATTATCAAATCTTATTATAAGCCACAAAAATATAAAATATATCCTGTAAGCTAATAAAATTTTCAAGTAGAAATAAAAAGGAAATATATGTATAATTCCTTTTTCTTAAGAATGCTTGTATTAAAATTCTATTTCCTGAATGCCAGATGAGTCGCCTAAATCTCCTTTTTTAACTTCATATATTTTACATATATCAACATTTATATATATACATAAGCATATCTATATATATATTTAAACATTGATGCATGAGCATACTTCCGGCCATTGTAAGCTATGCTTTCAGGTTTTTTTGATTATTCAGCCGATTCTTTTATTGCAACCGAATGAAATGGCATATGTGCTTTTCATCTAAGATATTATTCAACTTCTCATCTTAATTTCGAAATTTATTATACGGTTAAGTATTCTATGGCGATTATTGATTATTCCTTCAATACTGTTTTAATGATTGCTGAAATAATTTCATAAAAAAAACTACATTTCAATAATTCTCATTTTGCTGTGACAACCGTTGCTAACAACCGCTGCACGAAATGATTTGCTAATTTTATTCCCTATCAATTAAGCTAATAGCTTTAATAATTTCTTGTGTTTATTTAAATCTGTAACGGACGTATGATAAACGTTGCACTTAGCAGCTACTGCCATTTGCAAAAATTTCAATAAAATAATAATCTGTACTTTTCATTGAACCTATCTTCAAATAAAATTCAAAATTGATATGCTTTAACTGACTGCAGTTTTAAAATATTCTTATGAAATGAAAATGAAGTCAATGAGTAGTCAGTTCGATAAAAGGAGAGAAAATGAACCACTTGGGAAATAGGCACACTTAATATCTATTCAAGCTAAAAATGTTAACTGCCAATTACAGTGGCTGTCAAAAAAATGTATTGCGTATGTATGTGTATGTGTATTTGCGGAATGTTATACTTCAATTTTCCATTGGCAACAAATTTCATGGGCCAGTAGAGACCGGATGAGTGAAAGAATACCATACCTATCTCTCCATGCTCTAGTTTCCATTTTCAACTATTATCTAATTTCAAATGGATAATTCCCAACTGAATTAACCATAATTTGTTTTAAACGCTTAATCTTATCAACCTTCTTAACCTGCCATTATTTATCATTAATGGTTATAATGATATGAAGGTAAATTGATGCAATCAATTTTCACCAATAGGTAAGTAAGATTCATGTCAAATCGTATTGGAACAAACACTCAATCGCTAATACGAAAAAAATCTCAAGATATAAATAGCAACTTAGAACTTTCCTTTTTTTGTTTTGCAAATTTTATTAGTTCTTACAATTCAAATATCTATAACATATTAATCTTTCTGCGGTGGTCAACAACTCTATTTATCAAAGCCGTAAATTTTAAGTTTTAAATACAGTTTGTCGTGGAATCCACGAACCCATGAAATACGGCATTTTTTCGCTTTTTCCTACGTTATTTTATAAGCAAGGTAAATCTATGCTGGAGGAAACTGAAAGTCATAAATTTCTTACTGATGAATATTTTTTTGGAATATTTATTTAATATATACATGTATAATTCCTATTTTCTCAATTGTTTATCAATCATTAATTCTTATGCTAAAGTAAAATAACAAACGGAAAATTTATTGCTAAGGTTTTTGAAAAACAAATTTTCAATTATTTAATGCTAAAAAGTTGATTTTGTTCGGAAAATCTCAGAGGAAAATGAAAACAGGTTGATCGAAAACAGACTAGCCTATCAATACTCTTTCCGAAATTAAAAAATTTAAAAAATTTTCACGGAAAAAAAATCGTAAGCTATTAATGGTAAAAGATTGGGGAAACGGAAATAAGGACCAGAAACGACTGGAATCGTTGATTATTTGCCATAGATGATAGAATTTTACAATTACTTCGAACAAATAGCCAAGCAATGATCATATTAAATTCTTTCTATCAATTCCTTTTTTTTCCGACATTTTTCATCAAATAGAAATTCAATAGATGAAGAAAAATATTTTTCAGCATGTTAACTATATGATAAAGTATAGCCGATCGTTTGTTGACTTTATAAAAATTAACAATATAGAAATGCAGAAAAAATTGATTCATGAATGTAGGAAGGAAGAGTAAAACAAATTCTTATCAAAAGATCAAAAGACTTACTTAGCTTCTTTATTCCAATGAGATATTGAAAGTAATATGTGCAGCGCATATGCATAAACGATCTATTTCCAATAACTAGTTAATATAATTCGAAAACTGCAAATAATAATTCATTCTCATTCGTTCTAATGTCAAATTACCGGATTCTTGCAATTCACTTTTTCGAATACTTTGACTAAAATTTAACTGGTAATAAAGTGAAAATCGTTCAGAATTATTGCTAACAATTTGGTACAATTGTATTTATTGAAATTATTGAAATCTGTAAATACGACACTATTAATCAAGAGAAGTATTTCATTGGCAATTGTGATGATAATACCTTATCTTGCCCGTATTGTATTACTTTTACCTGAATTATCACCTACCCAGACGGATCATCTGGCAGATATCATTGAAGAGCAGAAATCGAATGGTAAGTGTTTTTTTATTTGTTCAATCAAATTACATTTAATTTATTTTTATAGTTTACAGAATTTTTCCTTGGCTCCATTTATCGAATTTCAAAATTTAGTTTGCACTAGCAGCATTGTAATGCTTTTCTCTGAGAAAATCATTAATTGAACTTTTTGATAAGCATAATAATTAACAGTAATCAATAACAGCAACTATTCTAAGATTAGAGATGGATTTTGATAAGTTAAAGCTTACATAATATCAAAGTTAAATGAATGAATTACAGGATGATCTTTTTTCTGTATAAATTCTTTATAAGTCTAAAAATAAACAGATTATATTATAGGTCTAAGGATGCAGAAAATACAACTTAATCATTTTTATGAATATCAATCGTTTTAAGTATTGTACTTAAGTAACGTGAAATTTATCTTAGGCAAAGAAAGCGAACGAAATCATATTCTTGATAATCGTAAACCATGCATTCAAGTTAGTGCCGAGTTACGGAAAAAATTGATACAGGTAATGATTTTTATATTCATTTCATTCTCTCTCTCTCTCTCTCTCATTTATTGAAAAATGAACAACAACAAATTTAATTAACTATAATCGACAAATAATTTAACAGTCAACTAAATTGCCCGTATAATTACGATATCCTATCATTCAATTCATTTATAAATTTTATATCTAATAAGCAAAAGAGCGCAAATATCCGTTCTTTTTCTTTCCTATGTTACTACTATCCTATTCTTTAACATTTCTATCACTTCAAATCGAATAATATAAATCCCTTTTATCTATCTGAAAACAATTCCATTCATTCATCTCTTTTAAAATTTATTGCAAAATATCGCAAATAAGCATAAACTTTATTTTTCGGATTTATACTAATATCTGAATAACACTTATTTTTCATCCTCACACTTTTTTGAAAGACCTTCCTTTCAAATAATTACTTTACGAAGTTTGCAATTTTTAGAACAGACGCCATGTACTTATGAACTTAAGACTTAAGAACTATTTATTTAAATAAGAATAAACGGTGACTTAAATAAGCAATTTTGTAATTTGAGAAATCTGATAACTACTTTGGATCGATCAAAAAATTGAAGGCTTTTATGCCAGGAATGTATATTACTTACTTACCTGACTATTGTTCAAATATTTTGAACCAAATTGATGACAGAGAAAGATCAAGAAAAACGTATCAGAAATTATAATTTATTATCAAAACATTATAAGTATATAAATAGTGCAAATTAAGAAAAGATGGTATGAAGGAAAGGAATTGATAGACATGAAACTTTTTTTAGTGAAGGGAACAAAATAGTATTAAAGATTTTTAACAATTATAAAGCGGGATAATAAGTCGAAAATAAATATATATAATGCAAAATATTCATCCTGTTGTTAGTGAAGAAAATGTTATGAAAAGTTGTAATGTAAAAAATGGAATATTTCATAGTATCGTATACTTCCTTTTGATTTCAGTTAATTTTTACTTTCGAGTAATAATTCAATTGCTGATAGTGAAAAGATATGTACAGAGAATTTTACTAACATTTAATAGCTTTATTATCAAATCAATTATTTGATATTTTTTCATACCTGAGAATTTTTATGCGATAGGTAGCAATATTATTATTATCATTTGAATGAAGAGAGTAGTATGATTATCATTTGAATAAAGAGCAAAGAAAGTATAAAATAGTTTATACAATAACATAAAATCTCAAAAAACTCCAATTGATAATAGGTTAATTAATTGTTGAATAAGTAAAATAAAAGTATAGATGGATTAAAAATGAATGAATTCTTAGTTTAAATATATAATTTTATGATTATTACATGAAACTATTAATCATCGTTTTGCTGTTATTTGTGTTGTATCAAATCATTGTATTTTTTAACTATACTTCACTGAACACTCTCGTACTTTTATTCACATATCAAAATTATCATTCCTTTTATGCATCATACAATCATATTCGGGTGAATATTGAATTTAGTAATCGTTATGATACATTCTAAATTCTTTCCATTCCTATATAACAAGCTAACATTTTCTTTTATTTCTCCATCTTTTAGCAAATTATTTTTTTTCATTTAAGAATTTAAGAAAATGTAATAGGGGATGAAATATTAGTAATCCAATTGAATTTTGCACATGAGGAATAGGTTGTGTGGTTAAATAAGGCGACGCATGGGAAGATATGATACTGGAAATTAGTGCGTGATTAATGTTATTAATATGCGATTAAAGGTTTCGTCCTTTGCAAATGAAAAGCAAAAAAAATCCCAGAGTACTCAAATAGTATGGTTACTAAATATTATCCATGAAATCAACTCGAGAATGTTTTGAGGGATAAATTCAAAAGTATACGGAAAGTAGTCAATTATATTAATTAGAGAGGTTTTAGTATCATATATCATCTTCACTTTTTCTTCCGTATCAATAACAGAAATTCGTTTTATATTGAGATTTTAAATTCGAAATTAACACAATAGGATCTATTCGATGAGCGAACGTACGATAAGAATATATTACCATCGGATAATTCAGTTGAAGTAATAGTGGAATTGACAGTACAAAGCATAACAGAAATCAGCGAAATATCGAGCAGTTTCAAAGCCGATATATGGTTCAGCCAAATATGGCACGACCAACGACTCGATTTTAGGGTAATTTCTGGGAATTTTATCTTTTAGGATTTATTTATCTACTTTATATATATACATATGTGAGGTAGATAAATTTTAAAATTGTCCTTTTCATGTAATACATAAAATATTCTCGCTATCGATATATAACTATGTTCCAAATGTATATTTTTGAGAGGAATCATAATTGTCTTACTATCCGAAAAGGGGAGAACTATGGTACCTATAAACACTATCATTTTCAGCATTTGAATTACTGTTTGCGGAATTTATCATTGGCCGCTCATAAGTTACCCAATCTGTGGACTCCAAATGTTTGCCTTGTCAACACTAAAAAAGTAACAATACATACATCACCATCACAAAATATTCTTCTGTTAGTATTTCCTAATGGAACAGTATGGCTCAATTACAGGTATAGTTACTTTTAAAACAAACAATGTATTCACAACACAATATTTTGAAGTTTTCTCTGATGGTAATTTTTTCATGCAGTTCTTCGAATTAGTATAGCATCAAATTTGCATTAGAAACAAGAATAAGAATAAATCAAAAATGAGAAACTGATGTGATGAAATGTAAGGTATTAACAATTAACGCTCCTCGTTGATAAAATTTCTGTCTAAAGCCAAATGATGGAAGATTTCATACTAATGTTTTATAACAAGCGATTCAGAGAATATCTAATAAATGATCAAGCCGTTTTAATTTTACTAAAGGATGATAAATTTTAGGATCAGTTTGCAAGGACCATGCCAACTTGATTTAACTAATTTCCCCATGGATATACAACAATGTAAACTCATCTTCGAGGTAATATTATTAATAAGAAATATTCATTTGTTTCATTGAAAGCCTGACCGTTTATGGCTTAAATATCTGCCTTAATTATGGCCATTCTAAGGCTTCATTCCGCATATGATGTTCAGTAATATGCTTGAATACAATGTCCAAACAATTCTGGTAATTTAGATAGGGATTTGTGAATGCATAAATGTCCCGTTTATTATGCAATTACAAGCATGAAAATGCAAAATTAATGAATTGTAAAATTTTCTGGTTTGGTAAAATTGTTACTAATTTCGTCATTTTAAAACATACAAATAAATTAAATAAATATAACCGGTTTCAATAAGAAAAAAAAATCAATAATCAAAAATACTTTGTTGCAGAGTTATTCATATAATAAAGCAGAAGTGAGAATAGTTTGGCGTGATTGGGAACCCATATCGATTGATAATCCAAGTACTGAAAATCTGCCCGACTTTACACTCATACATTCTGAAAACAAAAATACAACACTTCTTTATACAGCCGGTCAATGGGACCAACTGGAAGCTATTTTCACTTTTCGTCGTCTCTATGGATACTATGTTTTACAGGTAATCAATATTTCAGATAACAATAGAAGCAACATATCACTTTACATCATTCATTATCATCGTGCATGCATATATATATATAGGCTAGAAAATTGTCTTCATAAATAAATAAGGATGTGACAGCCAAGTGTTTCCAGTCTAATGTTTTAACTTCTTTTCTCAAAATTATATTAAAGATACACTATTTTAGCGTCTTTTTTCCAGGCTTACATGCCTACATATTTATCAGTATTCATATCATGGATAGCATTTTGGATTGATACAAAAGCTTTGCCAGCACGCATAACGCTCGGTGTTAGCTCATTGATGGCATTAACTTTTCAGTTTGGTAACATTATCAAAAATTTACCACGTGTATCATACGTGAAGGTTAGAAGATATGAATAGATTTTTGCATTAAATCAATTTTCTCGATACACTTTCAATGTAATTTATCCTTAGTAATAACTTTAAAATATACCTTAAAAGTGTAAAATCCATTACCGACTCTTATATTGTTTACCTTTTAATTAGATTAAAAAACAAATAAATAAGCTGACCTGATTTGTTGATAACTGGAAGTATAAACCTATGCCATGTCATAACAAAACAAAAAAATGCTTAAATAAAAAAAATAGTTGATACAGATTCAATATTCAGGCACTGGATGTATGGATGTTTGGCTGTGTTGGCTTTATCTTCTTGTCCCTTGTCGAGGTAAACTACCCAATATAATAATAATATTACGTATAACGCATTTTTACTCTCATTCTAATTTATACGAAAAGAGAATTCGGCTAATCAAATCTTGAATTCAAATGGCTAACCAAAATATAACTACACGGCAATATCAAATAATTTGTTGGATTTACATTAACACCCGGATCGAATTCTCAATCTTCTTCCGCAATAAATGCGCTTCATAGCAGCGTAATAAGTACGATAAGATGAAAATCTCACGATAATCAAACTTGATCATCATTAAACGTAAGACAAATTAATTGAATTATTTATTATTTTTTTTTTTGCAGCTGGCAATTGTTGGATATGTGGATAAGTTAGACTTGAGAAAAAGACGTGTACGAGTTCGAGAATTCAACTTTCGAAATCACACCGAACCATGGAACATGAAACCGACAAAAAATGATTCAAGTAAAAATACCTTAAATATGAGCAAATTTATTATTAATAATACACAAATTTTTACAAATCGAATAATATTAATAGCTCTGAAGTATATTTTAGATGATCCAGAAATCTTTGCAAAAAAATAGGTCATTTCTCTACTTAATTCAGATAATCGAAATATTCATGATAATAATAGCAGTTTGGGAACACACTGGTCACCCGATTATCCAACCAGACAGATGCAACGGGAGAGCTTCTTTCGCCGTATTCCAAGCGCTGAAGAGCCGAGAAAAACAGACGGAGAAAAAATTGACGAGGTAATGGATCAGTCAGTTATTTAAAATACTTATGGATTTGCAATTTTTATTTCCCAAAATTTCTATCAAGACTAAAGTTCCATTTTAATTATGTGTAAGCAATGAAAGCCTAACCAAACCAATCAAATGAATCGAATGATCTGCTTGCTAATGAAGGCCAAATTTCAAGAACGTTCACATACAGTAATGCATGAAGATTACAGAAGGGAATTAAGCAGATTTAAGAATAAAAGTTGAAATTTTAAGATCACGGAAAAGAGCAAAGATTTAAAATTAAAAATTAAGAAAAATTGTTCATTATAATTGCCTACCAGAGATTATTTTCAGATTTCCGGCAAAACTTTTCCGATGCTATTTATTGCTTTCAATATGTTTTATTGGTTTTACTATATTGGCATATATAGAAGATCCATAAAATAAACTTCATAATTTCACACAGTAATTCATTTCTTGGAGTAAAAGCTGTTATATGTAAGGCTGAAAGAAAAAAGCTGAAATAAAAAAGCTGAAATAAAATAATGAAACTTTATTAGGCGAAGGCTGGTGAATCTTAAATTTAAAACCTCAATATTTTAAAACCTCTCCTATATTCTATGTGAAACTTTATTTAAACAAAAAAAAGGAAAATAGATAAAACTCGACTAAAATAATTACATTTTATGACGGAGAATGGAAAAAGGCAATCAAAAAAGGCTGAATTTTGCAGGATGGGACAAAGTAAGACCTTAAATTCCACATTATTTAGCTCATAAGATTGAAAACAGAAAACAGAAAGTTTGAAAAAGTTCCTGTTCACAACAAAGAATTAACCTGACAACAATGTAACTTTCATTGGTAGTACAAAGATTGAATTCCACACCTAATTACTCACATGAAGAAAATTGCTCAGCAAAAACATCACCAACCCACCTCCACCAGCGCCAACTGCACCAATACATACAGTCAATTTAATGAAACGTGCTAAAATGAAGCGGATAGAATGAAGCGCGGTCCATCATTGTACCACGATATGAAACGCCGTTTTCCCAAAGCAATCAAAAATGAATGGTCGCTGTCCATGGATGATCTCCAGTGACAGAGGATCTTTTCCAGATATCAGTGTCAAGATAGCGTTGATATTAATTTAATAAAGGATGAACTTCTTGAATAAGTGTGTCTTTACGAAAAATAGGTTAAGTCGAAATAGTTTATCGGATTTATCAAACAATTTATCATTACTTTTCCTTTGGAAGACGATCTTCAACAAACACATACATAATGAATGAATTAATGCAAAAAAATGAAAACAATGAATGATTTGTTTATTTTAAAAGGGTCGATTGTATTTTCATTAAATTCCAACTGCTAATCTTAATTGAAATATTATTACTTAACAAACAGCTTGAATCTTTCACTATTTACAAATAATGATAATAGGCCTTAATTTATCATTACAGTAAAACATCGTGATAGATAATATGAAAGAGAATAGATGCCTGTCATCCAATCTTACTTATTCACTAATCATTAATTAATAAAAAATAATTATTCGCTGCAAAAGTTAAAAGGAATAAATTTTGCAAGTAATTTGTTAAAGATTAACATTAATGAAATTAAAAATAATCGATATATTTTTGCGTATCCTTTATTCTCCCATACATTTTCTAACATTTAAAAGTTATCAGAAATTTGACAGATAGTCAAAAAAATTTTTTCGTTGTAATTTAAATTCATAAAAGTATTAAATCTGATATGTTAAACTATTCGATTTCAATTCATATTGTTATTGTTGATCAAAAATAAACAAACTGTCAAACTTCGAAAGCAAACAAACAAATTAATTTATTTTACTGCATAATTAAGAAATGTTGAGAAAGGTGTAGGTTTTGCAAACAGCTTCTTTTAGAATTTATTTTATGATAAATAATTAAATCAATTCCCACTGATAGTGAAACTTCATCATTAACTTCAATAAAAAAGATAAATTTACTTATCAAAAAAAAGATCATTTAAAATTTACTTATAAATTAATTCATTAAAAAAATTGTTTTATCCACTGATAATGAAACTTTATCATTTCTTTATGATGCTGACAGTTTTTGACTTTTACTATTATTATTATTTTGGGTCGATAAAATTTTACTTTACTGATATGATATGTAATCAATTTTTCACTATCTCAAGTTTTTTAATCATTTTTAAGCATAAATATAATTTTTAAAGAAATAATTTTAAAAAATGATCTCCAACAATTTGGAAAAGCTGGAAATTATCAGTGATAAATAAGAGATTGATCTTTTTTAAGGTTTATTTTTTAAATTAATAATAGTAGTAAAAGTTGAAAATTGTCAACACTATTCTGTCACCATCTTATTCCATCAACTTGCTAAGTTTTATGCTTAACTCGGTATCTTCAATGAGAATATTTTTACATTAATTAATCATTTGAAACAATTGTATTGTATCTGAAATATTTCTTCTACAATTGATAATTTTATAAATATTTTCAAATGATTGATAATAACTTCTCTCTTTCTTAAATATATCACTGTTGTAAGATTCAGTGAAATTTTTTCATTAATTTATAATTTACCTGATTTGGTGGACAGTCTTTTTTTTAATTTATCATAACGGAAAAATAGTATAAACAAAAATTCATTTTATTGCTATAAGTTGAACTGTATCGTATTGATCGAACCTATTTGTTGCGCAATTTTATCGCTATTGGATCAATTTGATCGATATTGGATCAATTTGATCGCTATCGGATCAATTTGATCGATATTGGATCAATTTGATCGCTATCGGATCAATTTCATCGATATTTATAGCCATCTTTCAAAATTATGTAAAAATTTGTACAATAGGAAGAGAATATTTTGGCAGAATTCTGACCATTTTCGTCGATCAAATAAGAAACGATCAGAGCGACTACGAAAAAAAGACGCGCAAATTTTTGAGCGCAAATTGCCTCCTCTCTTTTCTTCCATTCTTACATTGTATGATTAGTGTTTATGCTAAATTTTTGGTTTAGGTAAAATTAAAAATTGTGAAACTATTGAGTTAGATAAATAGTTTCACAATAAATGATATCATAATTTTGATAACAAAAGAGGGAGGAAGAATTTGGTATCCATTTATCAGAAGTGATGGAACTTTTTAAAATATTTTGTTAAATTTTACAACGATTGGTAACATTTGATAGAATTTCAAAATTGAAATAATTCAGAGGAACATATATATGTGATATTTATATATTTGATAAATTTATTTATGTATTTGTATGTATTGTATATATTTATGTATTTGTATTTATGTATTTGATAAACTTAAAACTTTTTGTTTTTGTTTTTACGTTTTCATTAAACTTGTCAATTCCTGAAATCATTTTTTTAAACGAAAGATAAAATTGTGTTAACTTGTTTTCAGAAAATAAATTCATAATACAATGGGTCGCAAGAAATCTAAAGCTGCAAAGGCAAAAGATAGGAAAATCTCACGAAAACCATTAGCCAGCAATGAACCATCCGGTTCAAAGCCACCCGGTCCAAAATCATCCGGTTATAAGATAGTTGGTTCATTTATTAGGCCGTCTGAGAAAAGTCCAGAAGAAAAGAAGCGAGAAGTTACTGAAAAATTTTCTGAAGTGTTAATGTCAACTCTGGAAATGTTCAATTATAATCAGAAAAATAATATACCAGCCGAAATTCTAATGTTGATTTATGCTGTAAGATATATTTGTTTTATATGAAAATATCAATTAAATTAATGAGATAATGATAAATTAATTGTCGCAATTAATTTGTTTATCTTATCATGACTTACTATGATACTGTAATTTTTTAAAGTCTTAAAATCAATTTATTATCAAAAATGCACCACCAGAATTGTTTAGTAGTTTTGTTTGCTATTTTTACCTAAGATTCTTCGACATATTTCTTTTTCCTATATCCTTCTAAATTCTCTCTCACTTAGATTCTCATTAAAGACATTTTAGATTCAAAAAGAAAATCTCATATTTAAATTCTTTTTAATTTTCTGATCATTTTGTTATATCCATTTCTCAACAGTTAGTTAGATATGTATGTGTATGATATATTCTTCAAAAGTGAATATGTGAAATTTAAATTCAATATTAATTCACTAAACTTCGAATTCATATCCTAATTTTCTAATATCATTTCAATGCTGTAAAATAAGGTAATTTCATCGTAAATTTAAGATTCAAATTCAGTATTGTTTCTTTGTGAAGAAAAAATGATTAACTTCAAAACCATGAATATATTTTTATTAACATTATTCGTTATTCTCTCATAGAGTATAATTAATTTTATTGTGATCGAAATTTATGATTATCATTCCACCTCTTCTATCTATTACCACCTCACAAGTCACCTAAAAATTCTATGACTAAAATAATTTTATATAATTTTACATAAAAAATGAAGATGCTATTTCAGAAGAGCAGATGGATGAAACAACCAAAAGTACTAGCACCAAGTTGGGTTAAACAATTTAATAAATTTGGTAGAATTGATGGACCAGGATTCAATCATATGCGACGAGATTTTCGTATCCTTTATAAACATACTTCGGCTTGCAAGAGAGGATTTGAAAAATTTATTAAAAAATTCCCATGTGAATCCGATCCAAAGTCCCGAAGCTTTCCGGTAATTTCAAAGAAGAGATTCTTTGCCAGAAAGGGCGGATCTATTTCAAAAAAGAATGTAAAAACTGAATCCGTTTTAAAACAAAATATTCAACTTGGACAATCTACTTCAAAACAAAATGTTGAAAATGAAGAAGATGAAGATGAAGATGATTTTGATGATGATGATTCAAGTGAGGAGGAATATGATAGTTTTGATTTGCCATCATCTTTGTTAACTGAATTACAACGGGATTGTATTAAGAAATCAGGTATATTTACTTTTGATCAATCCAAAAAAAAAATGATTAATATTTGCTAATGCTACTATTAATTGATCAATTATGATAGATTAATTAAATTACTATCAAATAATTAAGCATACTTAAGTATACAGTAAAAGTCATTAGTAATCAAATCATCGGTATCGTTGATTAAATTATCACCGTTAGACTAAATTATCACTTGCTTAGCTGTAATTATCATCATTTGTAATTATCAGTTGGATTAGTTAAATTTTTTTGAAATCACTTTTTTCCTATGTGTATCTGTTATTATCCATATTCATTAATGATTTATTTATGCTATCAAATTTATTCAACGGAATATATAATTGATAAGAAAAAGGGAAGAAGTAAATTTGTGAATATTTTGATAATTAACAAATTTGAATTTTTGATTTCGAATAAATAAGATAGGAAGCAAGCGAGGATAAATATCAGAATTAGCGAATTCGTTTATGATAAATTATTTTTTTGAAGCTTATCAGTATATTTCGGAAAATACAGACGGGCCTTTTTACTATTCACTCTGTTCCAATTCATCTTATTCAACTTTTTATTGAACTGATGAAATTTTGCAGCAACTAAAATTTTGAAATATTTTCAGTTGCAGCTAATATAGCTTTGGAAATAGTTTGTTCACCAGAAACTCAAATAACACTCAAACGATTGCTTATTTTTGAAAAGCATCAGGTTGAATATTTTCACCTTCCCATGTAAAATGATGATAAAAGAAAGATAAAGGTCATGAAAAGTTTATTTACTACATTTTCTATCATTTACTTAGCAAATATTAATTTCTCATTCTCAAATTAATCATTTCATTCAAACAATTCATGCATTATTTCATAGTTAAATTTTTTGATGAAAATTAAAATTATTATTTTAGTTGGTAACTGAATGGGAAATAGCTAAGAAAATATATTGTTTACAAAATATAAGCTGGGAAATAATGCCAGGAATGATAAATCTTTGTGATGAAATAGCTAAAGAAATGATTGAGATTGATCGGGCACTTGAAGCAATACATTGTTTGGGGCGATATGAAATGGCAGCAAAATTACTATCAATACTAAGGGTTAGATATATCATCACAAAATTTGCATAAATAATTTTAAGATGATTTTTTTTATTAGAAATTTGTTTACAATGTTTATCAACACATTAATAGAGGTTGTTATTGGATGTTTTTCAATTATATGCAAATGATTAATATAAATATTAGTAAACAAATTGATAATACAAATATTATAAACAATTTGATTGCTATAATTTTGCAACATTTTAAAATGATCTTTTTAATTACAAATTTGTAATTAATATTTTCCACAACAAAGTTTATAGATTTAAAATTTTAAATCTGAAATGCAAATATACCTTTTGTTCTATTAATATTTGAATTAGAAATATAAATATTTAAATTTTTCCTACATTTATCATTTATCATTTATCACTTATCATTAATCATTTATCATTTTATTCATCATTTATCTTTTTAATTTTGGAAATTTAACTTTTTAATTTTTCATCATTCTTTCTATTTCTATAATTTCTTTTCCTTTTTTTAATTATCCTATTTGTTTTATCGATATGAAATGTTGGATTACCTGTTAATACATCGAAACTTTTCGTTTAAATTCAACTAGAAAATAGGAATTTTAGAAATCCATCAAGGCTCGATTACGAAAGAAAAGTGCCAAAAAAGAAGAAACAGAAGTGCATTCAGAAGAGAATGAGACAGAAGAAAGTGAAGAATCGGCAGATAGTGAAACGGAAGAAAGTGATGAATCTGAAGATGATGAAGCAGAAGAAAGTGATGAATCTGGAGATGATGAAGCGGAAGAAAGTGATGAATCTGATGATGATGATGAGGCGGAAAAAAGTGAAGAATTTGAAGTAACACTTGATAATGATTCATCAGAAGATATTGAAGAATTGAAAAGTGTTATTGATGAAAAGGAGCAAAAAGAAATGATTAAAGTAAAGAAACATATGACGACGACTTTTCTTGATTTGTTAAGAGCAACAAAATTCTTTGCTGAAATACGTAATGTTGATGAAAAAGAGATTGATCGTATGGGTCAGTTAAATTATAAATTTTATGAAATGTTATCTTCGATGACTCAAACTTATTAACAACACTTCATATTTACTTATTTACTTGTACTTGTTGATGAAATTTCCATACTATAAATTATTTTTCAATTAGTCTAAAATTTCATTTTCAAGAATGTGAAGGAATTCTTTCTTTGTTGCTATTTTAATTAATAACCATTCATATTACAATTAATTTTAGGTATTCAAATTTCATTAAATTAAACACTCCATTATCGTCAATTTTTAAATTATCATTCTTTGATTAATTTTTGCTTCATATCCATAATTTAATTTATATTTTTAGTTTCATCAAAATTTTATTACGATTACCATTACATGTCTGTTTCAGTATTTTATTATTGTTTATTTACATGATGATAATGATAATGATATGTTGACATGAAACCAATTCATTTTAATCATTGTGCTGATTATGATTTTAATAAATACATTGATTATGATTTTGATGAAAGTATTGATTATGATTTTGATAAAAGTATTGATTGTGATTGTTAGTTGAATTTTCATTTATAATAATTCTCCTTTCTTTTTGTTGCATTAAATTCATAGAAGATAAGTTTATTCTTTATGTTATAAGACTATAATCAGAAGATATCACGAATAGGAATGATTATAACGCTTGATTTGAATGCGGTAAGTAACATTGAAATATACTCCTTTCGGGCTGGCGGCTGCTCGGTAAGTCATATTTATAGTTAACAGACAGCAAAATTGATGGTTAAAAAAATTACTTGAGCATATAATGGATAAAACCGGTGACCGATGGTTAAACGGAATGTAATGTAAATTGTTCACAGTATCCTCCAGAATAACGAATTAAGATTAAAAAAGGATATCATGATTTTCATATCATAGATTTCACGAATTTTAATACTGTAAAATTATTTCGAATTACCAAGACACAAGAAATGAATGGTTCATTTATTTCCATTGATTGTATCATGATACGATTATTGCAATATAGTAAAGTAAGAGGTATAAACATAAATAATTTTGATTTGTACTATCTCAATGATACATATCTTTTGAAATTTCATCTGATAGTCATCATATATTCTGAAATAAGAGTTCCATTGATGTGCGGAATTTTCGCCCTGAAGTACAGTGAATCAACTGATCAGAATAAAAAGTTCAATTATTATAATGTAAAGAAGTTGATTTAAATTTGCTTATAAAAGTAATGATTGAACAAAATTATTAGCTATGACGATACATGAATAATTCCATAGTAATTATTGTTCATTAAATGTCAACAAAGTTTCTGGCGCATTGTAAACGATGAGCAAGAATTTGGCGAGTTACAGAAGAAATTTCATTCATCCGAATTATGCCGCACTTTGAAGTTGATCCTGCTTTGCTGGTAAAGATTCTTAAAGAAAATATCGATGAGAAAGAATTTGGCGAATTATATCACAAATTGAATCAGATGAGAAATAATATCTTTGCATTGGTAATGCCAGACATGATACTGTTATACTAAGTGTGATAACCAGGTATGATACCCGGCTAGGTGCATTATCAATATGTTACCAGATGTGATATCAGCTTTGTAAATAGTATTATTAGTGACAACAATGATTATGATATTGTTGAATGCATGTTTTTTAAGAACAATAATTTCACGAATATTTACTGCTAAAATATTGGGTTACAATAAGTGAAACAATTTTGCAAGATTTATTTTTGATGCGCGAAAATTTCTACTACACTTTTCTAAATGTTGCATTATTTTGCTGAAGAAATTCATTTATAAATAGTTCGTTTATTTTTATAATAAAATTTGTTAAATTCAAAAATAACATTTGTATATTGAAAATTGAAAAAGTTTCATCTAAGAATTGCAACATAAAAATTCATTTCAATTTGAAAATATCATATAGCTATGAAATTGTTATAAATTGCTTTACAAAGATAGCAAGTAAGTAATTAAGTAAGTAAAGTTTGCGTTATTTACAGCAGGTAAGTAATTAAGTAAGTAAAGTTTGCATTATTTATAGATATCGTCTTAGAGTGGAGAGAAAGTGAGAAAAAGGCGCCTTATTTAAAAAAAAAACTCTCTGAAGAATTGAGCCTTTGAATACAGAAGGGATTCTGAATATTTGATGAACTTAATTATTCGAATTGTCGTAAATGTCGCAACAAATAAAAGAATATAAAAAAATTCATAGTATTTTTTATTAGCTATAATATTATTAAAATTTATTTATTTCACAATAATTTAAAGATTCCAAATTGCTCGTTCTTTTTTCTTCCGAATTATTTTTTAGCGTAGATTCTGGAAAATTCTTCAGAATCATCATATAAAGATTCAATTCTATTTACTAGCGGGTTATCGGTGGCAAAATAGAAAAAAAGTATTCCCGCCATATTTAAACTTTCTATCTAATCATAAATTCTAATTTCCTATTTATCTATTTATGTGTCAATAAAAATCGGTACCAAAGATTTCTTTTGACCTTTCTCCTCAATAGCCAATAGATATTTTTATGTAATGATTTAGGTTAAATAATTTTTATTCATAATTAATCTAATTCAATAAAATTCTATATCTAAATTTAGCGGAATCATTGTTTTGGGTAAGTTCAAAGGAACGTAAGTTAAGGTGAGCAATAAGGGGAATAGGTTTCATTTATATTTATAAGAATTTTAGTTAGTCTAATGAAGTATTTAATATCTAAATTCAGTGGAATCATTATCCTAGATAAGTTGAAAAGGAAGTAAGTTAAGGTGAGCAATAAAGAGAATAGGCTCAATTTATATTTATAAAGACTTTAATTAGTCAGATGAAATATTTAGCAGTTTTTGTTATTTATGTATTATTATATATCAGCGAATTACTTCAGTCTTTTTTATTTGTTTATTTTAATAATCATTTATTTATTTTGACGCTTCAATGTATTCAAAATATTTGAAATGATTTATTGGTTAATTTGATATTAAGTTCAGAAAATGGCATCTGATGAAAAGCAACCTTCTGGTCTGAAAAGAAAGGGCAAAAAACAATCTGATCAAAAATCAAGTGATAGTAGTAAGGAAGAAATGGAAAGTTTTATGAAAAAGGTCAATCAGTAATTTAATTTTTATAAAATGAAATGATTTGTTAAAGAAATAAGTAAAGCTAAAGTGGAATATAATATATCGCTATTACCAAAGCTTTATAGAAGGATTATTATTTATGGGAATCAAACTGATACGGTTACCGTGATAACCTAAAAAATTGTTAACGTAATTTGCTGTATTTATCACAATAATGGTCAGTTCATTGTTGAACAGATCCCTGAAATACCTAATTGATAAAGAGATAATAGATTGTTATTAATAATGAAATAATTTAATAAACTATAAACTATAATAATCATCAATAGATATGTATGCTATTCAAAATTTTATTTATCACTTCATTTATAAATAAATCTTAAATAAATTTATTTATCTGTTGAAATATTATTAAAAAAAATTTTTAAATTATTTTCTAGTGAATTTATTAATTTCATTAAGGCTATTCAAATTTTATTTTAGGTATGTAATCGTCTTGAAAAAATGCACGTAATTTCACGTTTACTGGAAGAACCGGAAGAGCAGACGCAAAGTAGTAGCGAATCACGTCGTAAACCAAAGAAGTCACGAGTATTCTCTAACAATGTTTATGAATTTTTCTGCGATCAACCATCAACAAGTAAGCAATCAGAGCCAAAATCACCATCAAAAAGCAAGCAATCAGAGCAAAAATCACAATCAAAAAGTAAGCAACTAGAGCAAAAATCACCATCAAAAAAGAAGCAATCCAAGAATGAACCTTCAAGTAGCGCAGATCAGAAAGCTAAAAATGTAATAGCTGAAGAGATTGATGTTATTGATTTGAGCGAACAAGCTGGAACTAGTTGGAGTGGTACATCAACGTTTGGTGAACAACTATATATTGAAAATCCTGATGAACCATCGACATCTACCGGATTACGAAGCAAGATTGAAAGTGATGACGAAACGCTTCCAAAAATTTTAGAACGACCAATCTTTAAGCAAGAAGATAGTGCAACGATTCATAAGCCAAAATTATCTAGTTTATATGGCATTCATAAAAAACCGCGTCCAAGCAAAGATTCTGATAATACAGATCTTGCTGAATCATCAATTCGTAAAGGTGCACGTCCGAAGCAAATGGTGATTATTTTATTTTATACATCTGAGTAAATAAAAACAATATTTTAATTTTAAAGTTAATTTTCTCTTGACTATATGATTCATCATCTAACAGACTTTTATAACAAATCCCTTTTACCGTATATTTTACTATCAAACAAACAGATTTAGATAGATTAATAGATATGGATACGAATTTTAATGATGTAAGCTAACAGATAGCATCACTTTTAGTTTCATTTGCATCGTTTAAAATTTAGTTATCAAATTATCTATTTTATCAAATTAATTTAGTTACCTATTTTAATTGTTATCAAAATTTCAGGTTAAACAAACGAAAAGTGAGAAAGCATCATCAAGTGTAGAAAGAGAAACAAAGTTAAAAAATGAAAAAGCTAAAGATACTCGTGGTCAACGTGTAATTTCTAAATTAGAAAGAATTCCTGAAAATCAACCACTTATTCTGAATGCGCCACCATCAAAGCGTGATCGTTCGCAACGAGCACGTGAACGACTTCGAAAGAAATTTGAGGAAGGATATAATATATCATCATCAAAAACAAGAAATAAATAGAATTTTGTACTGATAAAATAATGAAATTGTTAGAATTATCATCGTAGTTGTCAGGCATATATGATAAAAATGATGAATATTCAACAACAACAACAACAACAATGACAACAAATTTAATAACCAAAAGTTAGAAGAATTATTTTATAATAAAATTTCTTCACTCGTGATATTATTTGGCTTAAGGATTTTTAGACTGTCAACAATTTGCTCAACGAGAGAGATATCTTTTTCTATTATCGTTGGAAATAAATTTCATTCATTTTTCTCTAATTTTCCTAAATTCGATGAATTATTTTATATTTTCCTTCTTTAAAATATCATATCTTTTTATTGTTATTATTTTGCAACAACAAAAAAGACAAAGACAATTGGTAATTAAAAAATATTTTTAATGATGAAAGAAATATTACTAAAAAGTTTTATTTTAAATGAAATAAAACTGATGTCATTTGATATTTCCAATTGATTAGTTAATTACTATTTTTTATGGATTTGTCATTAAAATTTTCAGTTCTGCTTTTGAATTTGTACAATAAAATAATACATTGTATTTTCTTTCTTTTGAATCTTTACAATAAAATAGCAGGTTGAATTTTACTTTTAATTATACGATATATATATTATATTGTTACTAAACCATTTCAAAGTTTAATTTTATTGTATCACAGAAATGAAATCATTTAGAATTTTCATATACAAATATTTTCATCTTTATTCTATTTGATATTTTATATACTATTTGGTTGTATTTTTTGTTTAAATATGAATTCTTTTCTTTTAGCAAAACTTTTATAATTTATCATTTACCTGCAAAACCTTTTTGATTTATTATTTACCTGCGAAACATTTTTGATTTATCATTTACAAGAATAAATTTAAATGTATTCAATTTATACTATTATTGCGATCTATTGATTAGTTTGTCTAAAACCTTTTGATTTATCATTTAGAAGAATAAATTTAAATGTATTCAATCCATACTATTATTGCGATCTGTTGATTAGTTAGTTGATGATCTTTGTGCATTTGAAAAATTAGTCGATTATTCTCATTGATGCTTCAATTCATTTTCTCTCTTTTAAATACCATTGTATTTTTATTATATATTTTGCTTCATTTTGTACTTCAAAATAAATTCATATAAAAACTGATGAATGATAACAAACTTCAAACTTTTATATAAAAGAAAGAAATTTGAAATAACTTTTTAAAAGTTAAATTCAGTAATGAAATTTCAAATTTCTATTTTGAAACATATATTAGCTTTACAATGGAAGAATCAATATTCAATTTCAATAATACTTATCCTTTCCTTACTCTTCATTTTTCAATCAATAGAAAATATAAAATATGATATGAATTATTTAGAGAGTAGATCTGATAGAAAAAGATTAAAGAAAAGGAATGAGCATTTCGAAAATTCTGGTAAAATGATCGAAAACACCTCGTCTCATATTCAGATCAAAATTAGAGCTTCTTCATTCAGGCGGTAAAATACTATAACCGCTAAAATGTTCACTTCATCATATAAATCGACAAGTTGGCTTTACTGATATTCAATCTGCTGGTTAGCAAATACTTTTTAATTTATTGCGATACTATTTATAATTTGAGATTCTTAATCATATCTTCAAAAGATTAATCAACTTTTTTGAAATCCAAATGAAATAGAAAATTGGAATGGATTCTTTTCCAGGAATTAGTCATCTTTTTTGTTTTCCAAATATCTGTCAGATAGGAATGTTTGTTTAATTTGAATAGTTTCAGAAAGGAATTTGTTTACTAAATATGAATGTTTGTTTACTTCACTTTTCATCTATTTTTCAATTGAATAGTTTCAGAAAGGAATTTGTTTACTAGAGAGATGTTTTATAAAAACAAAAAAAAGAAAGGTAAGAGAGGACGAAAAGGCAAGTTGAGGGATATAAATAATGATATTATGGAACAGGTAAGCTTTATTTTAAATTTTGAAATATTGAAATTCTTCGGGAAGAAATATAAACATTTTGAAAAATACAGACCCTCTAGAAGGTATGAATATTTCGAGAAGATTTATTCGGTTTAAAAGTTTTTCAAATTCCTTAAAATACTTTTTCATTTTAGCTACTCTATAAGGAAGCCGGAGTTGATCAAAGTTTCAGTGAATCGAGCAATGACGAAACAGAATCTCAAATGGATTCTGAATCATCCCAAACATCGATGCAATTAGGATTCAAAACAGCAATGTTTATTTTAGAGGAGATGATAATTAATTCAAGCTCTTCTTGCTCCAAACAACATACAACGTTTTGCCTCAATGACAATTCCGCAAGTGGAACTGCTCCAGGCGAAACTCATAGCACTAATACTCCCGATAACCTAAATAATAATAGTGTTTTGGGAATATGTGACTTAGAGGTAAATTGAAGTGGAATATTGAATAGGATAAATCAAGTATTAGATCGCTTTATTTCATAAATTCGTTATAATTGCCATCTTGACATTTTTAAAACGAAGCTTAAACTTTCAATCGATAGGAATCATAAGTTTAAACTTTTAATCTAAAGAATCAGCTGGAGAGAGTTTTTAATTTTTGGAATGATAAATTAAATGATTCTGAAAATTTTTTTTGAATATCTAGCCAAAAGTAAGTATTGCTTATGTTAAAACCAGTTTGAGTCACTTAATCACTTAAACCACTTAATTGAAATCACTTAATCAATTATACTTAAAGTTTAAGATTTTCAAATATCAGTAATAATTTGATCGTTAAAATATTTCAAGCAGAAATATGTAATTTATTAATTAATTTAATAACTTTAATATAATATAATAAATTATTATAAATTATAATAAATTATAATCAATGTAATAAATTTAATAATTTTTTAAATCTGAAATAATAAACAGCAGGTAATCAATCCTACACCTATAAATGTTAAACATTTAAGGGATCTAAAAAGGTTTACCTAAAATGTTTTAATTGTCGGATATTTAGTTGTCGAATATTGCGCCATCGACAACGTTGACATTGGAGACAGAAGAAGAGGAAAAGAGATCCAAAGAAAGTCATTCTACAAATACTGAATTACTCAAACAGTAATCAATTAATCGAAGTTGTTACAAGCCTTATTGGTTAGTTACAACAATATCTGCAACAATTTTATTATCGAAGTGTTACAAGCTTTGTTGGTTAGTTCCAACAACATCTACAACAATTTAGTAATTTCATTTATTTCATGTAAGTTTTTGCAAGCAGTAAATTAGAAGAAATGTTGACGAGAAAAGATTTGAGAAACTGAAGAAATACGCGATGGATAATATTTACAATTAAAATTTGCAATTTTATTTTTCTTTTGAAGTTTGTTTTTTAAGACAATTATAAAACGTAAATCATCTATTCCTTTGTAGTACGAGGAATCCATTAACAACTAAAAATGCTAGAAAAATCTTTAGATGTCAACTATAATATGTCTAGCATATTTGAAATATTCTATTACCTAAATTGCATCTAATGGAATCACTAAGCTAATTGCCGCAGCGTTCTATTCCAAATATTTGAAATTGTTTAAAAGTACGAATTTTATTCCTTATGATTTAAAAACATAAGCATATTATTTGACCCTACGTAAGGTTAGATTTAAATTTATTAACATCACTTTTTTCCAGCAGTAATTTAGAACGCTGTTGTATTCAAAAAATACAACTCTTTCCATATTCTCATTTTTAAATATAAATTAAAATTAAAATTACAGGTTACATTTCAAGCAAATTCAGTACATGCAACGGATTGGCGTATCTATCTTATCAATTTTTGATGATCATTGTGAATGGAATTTAAAAGTGATGATATTAAGGAAGCATCGTTAACATATGTGAAAATATTTAATTTTGATATAATGTAATAATTGTAATGGTATTTACAGTAACTCTAATCATTGTAACCAATTTTTATAGGAATGTTACGAAAACTTGGTTTAGAAGCCTTAGGCATTTAAAAGTTATATGATACTTTAAATAGTTAATTAATTACTTCCAATAGTTTATTAATTGACCCAAATTTCTCATAGGTCAAACTTAAAAATCTACAATTACTTTAGGTAATCTCAAATTCTTATTTTATATATCATTTATATACCATTCTTATTTTAGGCTATACATACATACCATCCTTTATTTTAGGTTTTCCTCCATTCCTCAACCTTCATTGTTTAGCGAATTTAACTTCCTGTTGAAATTCATTCACATGACAATAATCTTTTCAACACTCATCTCTTCAATTTAATCCTTACGATGCTACACTGTCACTTTTGTACTTCAGGTTAAGCATTTCATCAATTTAATAATATTCATGCATTTAATATCCAATAACCTCATTAAAACTTACCTTATCGTCCTAGTATTTTTAATCAACTTACCTTATTGTTATATTGTTGATTGTATTTTGAAATTTATCGAACACGAAATGGATGAAACCAATTTTAAGCGAACATTTTCCTTTTTCCACATTTTATCAATGGATAGATAGAAAAAGAGATGAAACGAAATAAATGTGTTGGAATGATTTTTGGATGATTGTTTGACACTATCGCAATATGAATATATATATTATCTTACAAGATGAATACTGGAAAATTAGTTATGCTGAATTGTAAGAGTGATATTAAACGATGATACGTAATGAAAAATTTATTGATGGATAATTCGTGGAAAATTGAATTAGTGGATAATTTGTAGTAAGATGGCAAAATACCTGAAATTAAATTGGCAGAAATAAAATCACAAATTTCAAATTGTAAAAGTTGCAAAAGAAAGTAATTGTTTTTGAAAAAAATTGCAAAAGCCTGAAATAATTTCAAACGAATTGAAATTCAACAATTCATTTAAAAGATTTCATTTCATTTGAAAAACAAATTTAGGATCGAAATTTTACATGAAAAGTGAAAGTAAATTTATAGCATGAAAAAAGTTAAGAAGGTTAACAAAGAGAGAGAGAGAGAGAGAGAGAGAGAGAGAAAGGTACTGTTTGAGAATGATCACTTCAATCGTCATCCTTGATCACAGAATGATCACTTAAATCGTTATATATATAAATTATCATCCTTAAATCGTCAAATTTATCGTCATATATATATATATATATATAAATCGTCATCCTTAAATCGTCAAATTTGTGCAAAAATATCATCATCATCATCATCCATTTATTTAAATAATTATGATTTTTATTTAAGCAATTAGATTTTTCCAGAATTTTGAAGATTATTTTTAGCTCCGTCAACAGGTAAATACTTCTTTAAAAAAGTAACGAAAACTTTGATCTTTTCTACAAAGCGCGATGTTTTATGAACAAATAAATTTAGTTATACTTATTTAATTGCTATGGCGAAACTGAGTGGACCATTATCTGCTAAGAATCCATTTTTTGTATTAATTGGCGATTGGTTAAACGTAAGTTTTGCGGATTACCTCTCGATCAAATAATTTCGACTAATTCAAATTTGCAAAATATTATTTGTATTCCAATAAAATTTATTTTCATCCTAAAATGATATTATAGGATAGACATGCGATATATTAGTTTTCGCTTCATTTTCTTTCTTTGAATAATTCCTTAACCTGAATTCAATTTTACTATTCTTTTGGAATAAATTTTCAAAAAAAAGGACAATCCAATCAAAGGTATATAAATTGATTAATTGTTTCGTTTTATTGCTTTTCTGTATTTTATATAAAAATTAAATTACTATTTTACAACTGCTATTAATAAATTGTGAAGATGGATTTATATAAAAATTAAATTGCTATTTCCCAATTGTTACTAATTATGAAAATGTAATGATCGATTATGGTTATAATTTCTGCAAATGATTTTCAGGAAATACAAGATCGGAAAATGTTATCGAAAATGAAAAAAGAGCATGATAATTTCACTTCAACTATCATTTCAAATCCCTATTATTACTATGCTTCTAAATTTTTTTTCGATGCCTTAATTATACTAAAGGAAATGAGTTGTTTGGATTTGACATATTTAATGGAACAACGACTTCGATACACACATATTAGAGATGAATTAGAAATGTCTCATCTTTTAAGTGAATTTCGACGAAAATGTGAAAGATGTTTGATGATATCAGATGGTGAAGAAAGTGACGATTCAGAATCAACGAAATCAGAAGCAGAAGAAGGAGAAGAAGAAGAAGATATTAGTAAAAGTGAAAAGAAGGATGGTAGTAAAAGTGAAACTGTTGATGTTTGTCATGGTAAAAAATATCATCAGAAACATGGTAAACGATCAAAAATGATAGATTCAAAAAAACCTGATCCGGATAAATCATCAAAACAACAGAAGAAAAAGAAACCGAAAAAGATGTTGAGTAATATTATGGATGAGGATGAGAAAGTTTTGCAACGTTTTTGGTTTAAGCGTGATCGTAGTCCGCCACCACAAAATGAATTGGAGCAACATTTATATGAATTACGAATGCGAACACGAAAAGAAATGCATACATTATTATTTCTTAACTGTGCTGCGGTAAATGTTAAATTCATTTCATACTCTTACCTGTTCGTCTTTTTTTTAATCACATTCTAGGTTAGTAATTAATCTTAAACTTATATAAATATCAGGTGTCAAACTTATGTAATTAATGTTTAGGTATTAATATTAGATAGATTATATAATTAATATCAGTAAACTTATGCAATTAATAATTTATATTAAACGTACGTATGTGTTATTATTGTTGTTGATGTGCTATATGCAAATTAATGCAAATAATTGATTATGCAACCTTTCTTTTGCCAATTTAACATATTTTATTAAAATAGGATTGAAATGGTAAGTGAGTAATGAAATTTTTGCGCGATTATTTTTGGTTATAATTAATTAATTGATTCCTATAATATTTAAATCTTTAAGTGTTTTAATTTTTAAATTTTTTCTTCGCTATAATTTTTAATTTGTTTTGTTTTTTTCCTTTGTTTTTATCAAATATCTTAATGCATAATTAATTATATCAAAATAAGACACAAATACATAAGTAATTAAGATAATAAAAAATAATTTAAAAAAAAATCGATCAATCAATAAGGCTCTATAATATATATTATTACTTTATATAAACTTTATTTCTTCTTTTCTAGAAAGAAGGTAAGATTAAAAAGTTGAAAATGTATACGGCACTGTTAAACGGAAAATTACAACAACGTTGGAACAAACATATCGAAATGCTTGAGAAAGAATTTGAAATACTCCCAGAAGGACCAGCAGATTATAATAATAATAATGTAAAGAAATTATCTTTCAATTATTTTCTAAATCTTACATTTTAAATTTAAATGTTTATTTATTGATTATTTATTTATTTTTGTTTACCTCTTAGATTTTTCATCTTTTAAACTGAAAAAACCATAATTATTTATTGTTAATTATTTTAGTTAAAATATTTTGTTCATTTTTGCAGTTATTGGAACGCTTAGAGGAAAATCCAGAATTAATAGAAGCGATAAATAAATTCAAAACTGAACAACCATTACGTGAAACAATTATGGAACATTCGTATGAAATTGCTACAAGAATGGAAAGACAATTCTTTAGCCTTATACCGGGAGTTACTGGTTTAACCACATATAGAAATGCAATGATTTGTGAATTAGCAAGAGATGAGACAATTACGATTACGATATAGTAATTCCTATCTTATACTATGGATCATTGATCATTTCCTGATTACAATATAGTAATTCCTATGATTTGATAGGTTATGTTATGGTCAGTTTCTGATTACGATATAGTAATTACTAAAGTTTGATAGGTTATGTTATACTCAATTTCTAATTACGATATAGTAATTCTTCTCTTATGCTATGATGATCATTTTTTGATTACAATATTGTAATTCCTATAATTTGATATGTTATATTATGATCAGTTTCTGATTACGATATAGTAATTACTATAGCTTGATAGGTTATACTATAATCAATTTCTTATTACGATATAGTAATTCCTATAATTTGATTAATTATATTATAATCATTTTTTTCTAACTTCCTATTTTTTTATTTCTTGAAACAAAAAAAAGATTTAGAAGAAATTTATAAATTTCAATTATTTTTACCCGTTCATAATTTCAAAAAGGAAATTCTATTCTTTAAACATATTTCATTGAAATATATTTCATTGAAAAATTATTGTTTACTCATTTCTTATATTATCCATTAGTTACTTAATTCTGTTTTATTTTTGTTATTGATTTTATTAATTATTATTTACTATTTATTTTGAATAATTTTCAAACCTTTGATCATAAGATTTAATTATTTATAATTCCCAAACCTTTGATCATAAGATTTTTATACCTTTGATCATAAAATTTAATTATTATCACAAGATTTAATTATTTATAATTTTCAAACCTTTGATCATTAGAATTTTATAATTAAATTATTTTCAATTTGAAATAATTCATTGTTCTGTTTTTGAAATCATATTGCTTTCTTTATCACTATTTGTTGCATTTTTATTTTTATATAAACAAGAGAGAGAGAAGAGAGAGAGAGAGAGAGAGAGAGAGGGATGGATTATTTTTTAGGAATAATATAGTTCCTATTTGTTTTTCATTATCAAACCCATTTACTTATCATTGCATTATCTCTGATTTCATTCATTTCATCTTTCCTTTATCATGATAATTATCGATGTTATCACTGATGTTAATTCTTCTTTACAAAATTATTTCATAATTTCGTTAAATTGTACGGAGAATTCTAGTAGCTATATTATATCGTTGAATTGAATGATTGAATATTACTGATATCAATTGAAATACGATATAACTATGGATCCAATTCTTCTTTTATTGATATAACAAGAACTTTTTTCAAAACATTTATATTTCAATCTTGAATTTATTTTTGTGCAATAATATTGAAATAAAAATCAAATTAAGAATGAGTCATTATCTATCTAAGTTTTTGCAAATTGTTAAATTATCATTTGTTTCCCAGAATAAATTATGATTGGTCACAAAATTGTCTTGTAATCATAAATAACTGACGACGATTGACCACGCCGTTATGTTTATGCTTTAAGAAATTGATGTTTTCTTTTCGTACTTGTCTGCTTTTCTCTTTCTGGCTA